GTCCGCCGACTCCAGCCGCTCGGCCAGAACTCGACCTTCGTCGGTCAGAGAGAACCTGAAACGGAAAGTTTCACAGAACCTGAGACGGACGGCGCCGAGCGCGGTCCGAACCTGCGGCCTGATGTCGGCTTTAAAAACCTTCGGCTGTTCTGTCTGCGAAAAACACCGTCAACCTGAGAACGAGCCGAAGAAGGAGCCGAGGAAGCAGCTTAAGAACGGAAGCGGTTAGTGACGAAGCTGGCGTGAAGCCACTCGTCAGCCCTCGGAGGTCGTGCTGGGGGCGACTCTCGGCTACTACCACACCGACTTTCAGCTCCGTTTCTAACCCGGTGCGTGTCTGCTCAGGTCGATTAGCTGTGGCGGCCATCTTAAGTTGGAAAAGTTTCTTACAGTCCTCTCAGTGGTTCGTGAGATATTTTGCTAACGGCAGGGTTGACTGCCAGCAGTTTGGGCTCAGAGGACGTGTTTTTAATGACTCTCAGCTACTACCACCTTAAAGATTAGCTCAGCGTCTGTAAACACCTCTGAGTTAGACATGTGTGTGTGGCGGCCATCTTGAATCCGACCGCGTCCAAAACTTAACGAGCCGTCGACGCCCGGCTGAGGAAAACTTCCTGAGATATTTCGCTAACAGATGAGGTTAGAGCTCGGGGCTCGTGACGATGCTCAGCGACTACCACCAGCTCGTAGCTCAATATCTGTGCACGTCTGAGAGGTCCAAACCTGGCAGGACTGTGGGTCTTCAGCACCAGGTTCTTGTGGATCAGGGTTCTGACGGAGGACCAGGCCGTGTATCGGCTGCCGGGGTCCGGCTGCGGACGGATCAGAGTCTGAGTGAGACCTCCGGTCTGAACCCGGAACAACCGGGAAGAGACGGGAGACTCACCGCCGTGAACGATCTGTCGCACAGACGCTGAGCCTCTGACTGCAGCTCCATCTTCAGCATGAAGCCTTTGTTGCCCGGCAACTAGAAACAAACAAACAAACAAATAAAACCAGGGAGGAGACTCTTTGATCTGTCTGCAGGAGGATCCAACCTGTGAGTGTCTGTAGAGAGCGAGCAGCACGGCGAATCCTCCAGACCTCCTCTGAGGGACATACTCCCTCTTCCTCCTCCTCCCTCCACCTCCTCCACCCTCCTCTTCATCACCCGCAGCCTTCGTCTGCAGCAGAAACACGTCAAACGGAGGCGTCCCCATCGTTTTCTCTCAATAAAGCTCCGACGTTTGAGGCGTTTCAAACGTCTTTGCTTAACTAGAGAAATTACTTTTCCTGCGAAAATCCAGCGTGAGCGCTTACAGCTGAAAAACAGCTGAAGTTAGCTAAAAAAAACCTGCTTAAATGTAGCTGAAGCACAAGAACAAGCCTAAATGAGCAGAAGAAAGCAGAAAGAACACATTTGCTGAATTGAGTTTAAACAAACAGAAATCAGCATCAAAATTTAGGAAATTAGCTTTAAAAGTTAAAAGTAGCTGAAAAGTAGCTGAAAAGTCAAAAAGAAACTGAAATTACCAGAAGGAGGTGGAAGGAGCTGAAATGAGCTCCAAAAAAGTGGAATTGGGTGAAAAAAGCAAAAATTAGAGTAAAAAAAGCTTAATAGTAGCTGAAATAGCAGAAAAAGCTGAAATTAGCAGAAATAAGTTAATTAGGCTGAAAGTAGCAGAAATTACTACAGGAAACTTTAAATTATCTGTAAACAGCTAAAAATGCTAAAAAGGTAGAACAAGCTTAAATAAGCAGAAAAAAAAGCGTGTTTGCCCATTAAGGCTGAAAGAAGCAGAAATTAGCACAAAATGTGGGAATTATCTGAAAAAAGCTAAAATTATCTTAAAACAGCCAAAGTAGCTAAAAAAGCAGAAAGAAGCTTTACTTACACAAGTAAGTGGAGAGAGCATAACTTTGTCCAATTAGGCTGAAAAAAGTTTAAACGAGTGCAAACAATGTGGAATTAGCTGAAAAAGCTAAAATAAGCATAAAACAGCTAAATAGTAGCTGAAATAGCAACAAAAAACTGAAACTTGCATAAAGTTAGAAAAGCACAAAAATGTTGTAGTTAGAAGAAACTGAAAGGAGCATAAAACAGCTGAAAAAAAAACCCCAGCTGAAATTAGCTGAAAGTAGCTGAAAAAAGTTAAAATTTGCAGAAAGCAGCTGAAGCAAAACAAAATGTGAAAGGAGCAGTAAAAGATGTAAACACGCCTCAAGAAGGATGTAAAACGAGCTCAGTTCATTTTCTATGAGGAAAAAATGGCAGAAAAGGCTAAATATTTCAAAAAGCTAAAGTTGCACCAAAAGTCACAGCAGGATTGTCCTGAAAGAGCCGAACGTTTTGATTCATGATTTGTTGACATAGATGAAAAGTGAGGGGTGAGAAAGAAGCCGAACAACGTACAGAAGAAAAACCTAAAAATAAAAGTGTTTTCTGGGTAAAGCTCCACTCGGACCTTCTGAAGCCACTCCTTCTTCACTGGAAGCTGCAGGAGTTGAAGGCCTGCAGCGCCGCCTGCTGGACAGAAGCGAACACGCAGCTTCGCAATATTTTAATCAATTAAATTCTCTCAAGTTGAGATAATCAAACGCTTTGATCAACTACGAGTGTTTGTTAAATCTGTGCGCAGCATTTTGTGTATTTTTTACACAAAATTACCGACTGATTTTGTGTGTAAATAGTAAAAGTTTTAAAGTTTCCATTAATTTAAGGGGACGTCCAGAGCAGCAAGCGAAACAAGAAAAGGTCCAAAACTTGATGAACGTCTGAACTGAACGCCGACACGAAGGTTCGTGGAGCTCATTTTACAGACGGAGGGGGAGTTGACCGACTGATGGTTCTCCTCCTGGTTCTTACCGCCCGCGAAGCCTCCAGCCTGTTGTTGTCTGCTCCTCCTGCAGGGGGCGCTCCGGCAGGGAGGGGGTGGATCGGAGCGTTCGGACCTGAAGGAGACGAGAGTTTTTAAAGCGATAAAAAATATAAAACCTGAGATTTAAAACCAGCTCAGGTCAAAGAAGCTGCTTTGCCACAAAGACTCGTTTTCCCGCTCTGTGGATCGTAACTGGTCCGTAACTGGTCTGTAACTGGTCACTGTGTTTGAGCCACTCCACCAGGTGCGCTCCTTAATCGCCCGATAATCAGACCTGAACTTCTTCAGCTCCTCCCAGAGCCACTTATCAGAGCAGGTGAAGCCGTCGTGTGTGAATCATCTCGCAGTAAATCTGCTCACGGCTCGAGGCGTCGCCCGTCAACACGACAGGAAGTGGAGGTTCAGACGTAGTTTGGGTCATTCAGTGACGCAGCTCCACCGTTCAGTCGTCTGTG